GGGGGGGGGGGGGGGGAAGGTTGCTTCTGCAACATCTTTCTGCTCACGAGGAGGAAACTAAAAACCATACCAAGCTGTATTTAAAAAATTAACATCCCCTTCCATTATGCTTTCAGCAAATGCCGAGGTAAAATAACAACACAATTAGATTTATATTGGATTGTGTACCTTTAGAAGCAAGCAATGGATGAGAATGTTATTATGCCAAGAAGAAAGGGCCAGCCCAGATATAAATTTTCAAGCTTTTGAGGATGCAGAGAAATGGGGAGAACTGCATACAATGGTATATAAAAACCATGGCACACAAAGCTATTTGTAGTTATGTAGTTACTATAAATTCAAATAATAAAGCTACTTAGAATAGTACCTACTTGCAGTACACAGAAGGCCGAACTTGGATCCTGATTTGTTAAGAAGAAATTTGTTTCCTCTCTCTCTTTTACACTTTTAAATAATATTACAAAGGCTTTATCCTGGCGTCTGTCATGATATTGTTCTTTAAGATGTGTTTAAATGAAAAATGTTAAGTAAAACTATTTGGATAATCCTAAAATACAAGCACTATGAAAAAAAAAAGGAAAAAAGACATCCACACCAGCATGGAAAAATCCCAAATATATATCCTTCTTTAGCTAAGTACCCTTAAGTAACCGCTACTTCATAGCAGACACTGCTTCCTTAATAGGATAGTAGATTTGTGTTTTATAGTACCTTCACATTATCAAGTGATCATCTTTAAAATATCCCTTTCCTTTAAGTACACCCAAAGATAAATTATTTACTCATTTTCTTAAAAAGTCTCAATTTTTTTAAGCTTTGTAGTTTACTTTAGATTCCTTTCTGTGGCTGATGTTTAATGAATAACTTTCCAATACAAAATACAGTTGTAACTAAATAACCTCATTTTATGTTTATCTGGTTCATTTATCTACTAAGATATCACTATCCTGAAGATCCAAAGATATATTTATGACACAAACTCATTTTTAGGATGTTTAAAAGAACACTAAAAAAAAGTAACAGATTAGTGAGATTGGTTTAAGCAGTCTTTATTAGGATCTCTTGATCTACAAGCTTGTAAAGTCTCTGCTAAAACAAAGAAAACTACTATTTTAAAATCAGTATCTTTGGTTCTGACACTAGAATTAAAATATGCCAATGTACTTTTTGTATTATTAGTGTGAGGACTTAATATTGTGATGACATTACAGAAAGATTTTAGATACAAAGTGCTAAAAAAAAATCTGTAGCTATTTCATATAATTCATTTTGCTATTAAAGCAAGTAAGAGCTCAAACCACAGCATAAAAAGAATGCAAATTCTATGCCGCTGAAGAACAAAATGAAAATAATCATACATAGAAAGAAACAGATACATTGCACAAGTCCGTTATTTTGCCGATAATTGTTCATAAATATGTCACTTGACTGAAATGAATCAAAATTATGATTAAAAAAACAATGACCTGAGAAATAACCTCATATTAGGCTCTCTGTTAAAGCATTCATTGTTTCTTGTGAATGTTATCCATGAGACACTGCATGCTTCTTTCTATTAAAAAAAACTAAGTTCAGGCAGAGGCGCAACAAGTAGTTTCAGCCCCCTAAGCTGCAGCAACAGCTACCAATCTCAAACCTCTTAAAATCAGCACCTGGGCCTGGTGCTCTAGAGTCATCCACTGCTAGTTTTGCTGTTGAGTTCAGCCAACATCCATTTTCTAGTTGGAGCCAGAGGCAGAATTAGAGATGCCACACCCCATCAAGTGTCCATGAGTATCCTGGAATTTCTTGTTTTCTGGTGTATGCCATAATCACAAAACACTGGACAGTAGGCAGTTTAGGAGTGGTTTCAGAGTGACACCTAATTAACATTGCTCAATACAAAATTCCTGGATATAATTCTTCAGGGCAATATTTTGGGGGAAAGAAACTGGTGCCTGCTGATGCATAGCACAACAATCTGAACCTACTGGAACTAGTGCATTCAAAGCTCCATACTCAATTCTTAACCTGTACATCTACACAATAACATTAACAAACTTCTTGGGCATGAATAACCCCACTAATATCAAAAGACGTATGTATTCACAAAGAGCTACAGTGATTGGTTTGAAGGGAAGTGAAAAGACTTCGAAGAGGGCAAATATTAAAACCAAATGCTTGTATTTTACAAGCTAAAAAAGGAAGCATACCTCAACTAAGATTGCTTATTTTATGTTTAGGATACATTTCTTCAAAGTAGTCTATGTGCGGAGGCTGGAGTATGTCGAGGGCAGAGAGTACCTAAGAAACAATGGAAAAGACAATTTTACTAGATAGCAAAACAAACACGTATCATTATGCAGACAAGTTCAGGTTATAGTTTATCCCTTTCCTTATCATTAGCGGTATCTTGTGCCCTTTCAATGGAGGAGTTTACAAAACAGAACAAAGTTTTTAACTTCGATTAATTTGCAGTGCCAGAAAACACTCACATAGCCTGCCCCGCCTGTAATTTATATCCACCTTCTATACATAGGAGGCTGCTACCCTGGAACAGAAGTGGATAGACAAAACCCAACCCAGCATTACTTATCTTGGCAGTACTCTTAACCCCAACATTTTCAGAAGTAATTCTCTCCTAGACTGTATGAACTTATCCCACTTGAGAGGATTGGATTGTCTGTCCATTACATTTTTCTTTTCCTTTTTTTTTACACCAACTGAAACATTTAATTTGTCCATAACCCTTATTTTTTGTTGTTTAACTTTCATCAGTCCCATAACATAGTACTGTTCGCATGTGGTGTAGTTGGCTTGTTACCCCTTTAAAATACCTCTGTAGAAGACCTCTATCAGCTAATCATTTAATTGTACATGTAAGATTCATTTTTTGGGTACACCTCAGCCTTACTCTGCTCCACAACCCAAGATCAGACTGACTTTTCAATCTGGATAAAATCTCTATAAAAAGAGAAACAAGAACAGCTGGCTTCTAAATGTTGATTAAATTGACATGACTGCATGTTACATTGCCATGTAATGTGACAAATGTCAAATGTAACCTGTCGACACACAAAACACTAGTCAAAATTTTGCCCTGAATGCTAGGCAACCTCCAGTGACTTCAGCAAGGCTGTACAGGGGGTCAGCCAGTGCAGAAGTTGGCTTGCATTGCGTTTCACCCAACAGAAGGGTCTTTTTTCAAATGTTCACTTTTCATCTCCTTTCATTCAAAAGGCAAGGCAAAATGACTACAAGGAAAAAAAAAAAAAAATCACAAAACATCCTCCTTCTATATTTCATAAGGTAGTAAATATTTATAAAACAAGCACCTACAGTCAAGATCAATGATCAGGAAGTGTATTTGTGTAAAATAAACATTATACACATTGATGTGTATATTACTCATAAAGAAACAGTTTAGAAGTTAGATGCTAAACAAACTCACTGCAAGATTCTGCATCTGAACAAGATCCTGTCTGCAGTGACAAACACTTCTGGAGCAACAGCATCAAGCATGAAAAAGAACAGTACGTCTCAAACTTTCAGCAACCACACACAGTCCAAAATAAAGAGGACTTTAAAATACAGGATAATGTTTCCTACTATATGAGTTCTTCTCCTAGACTGGCATTTTTGTGTTAAAATCTGGTTGTGTAGATGTTACTTTCTGAAACTTAGCAATTCTGTTTCTAGATTAAAGTACCTATCTGAATAATCCTCTATTATGAAAGAAGCTTAATTCAGTGGTAGTTGCATGTGTGTTACTAAAGTTAGATGGCAATTAGGCTTCATTTGCTATAACCTGTCACACATCATACCCTAAATAAGCATAGCAAAGCCTCAAAATACGAGCAAACAAGAATTTCAGCCAGTCACTTTCCAGGAAACATGTATGCAATTCTTTCAAACAACTAATCCTTAATAGTAGACTGCAAAGCAAAAGCATACAGACCTGCTTTGCCTCTATGATTCAGGAAGACTGTCAAAAATACTGTTTATTCTGCTTTTCTATGCGAGGTCTTCACTCCCTCTCTTTGCCGCAGAACCTTCTTGGAAAAGCTGAAGTTATGTCACATAAGCTGCAATTTGAATTGTGCCTTTCCTTCCCCATGAGAATAGCCTAAAGGACGTAAGTCCTAGACAGTTTAAAAACAGTATCCAGTCATCCTTTAGGTAGAAATTCAGTTCAGATCACCATCACGTGCAGCATTTTATTGCATTTTTCAAAGATCAGGTCAAGGTCTTTCAGCAAAGAGAGGAAAGTTAGGGCATGACATGCAGGGATCAGTATTCTGAAAATGACTGTCTTCACTCCAGATCCTGAATTTACAATTAGGCACCTGAATAAATAGTTACAAGTTTCAAAAGTATCAAGCACCCGGTTGCTTTCAAAGGTAAACGTGCTATACAGACAAAAATCCAGCCACTTTTCCCAGGTGCCACACTCCTAATATGAACGCTTAAGATTTTAAAACAAAAAACTTTGGCTATGTGTTTCAGCTGTAAAATACAATAAGAAAATCTTTGAAGATATATTAAGCCTGCTTGATAAATACAGTAATGGGCAAACATGATTTATTTGGTTCTTTCCTGCCAACTATCTTCAACTCCACCCCTAACATTTGACTCCATTTCCATAAAGGCAATTATAGCTGGTTGTTCACCTGGACCAAGAGTACACTTAAGTGATGCATGTACTGCACGAGTTTGAGAAAGCAGTAGCGGAGTATACAATAAAATACATTATCAGGCTCCAGTTCAGATCACTTACAAGAACAGTTTATAATTTCTTCCTCCCTAACAAAAGTTATCCCATAATAAAGTCCTTGCAGAGCACTAGCTTAACATATCACCTTAGTGACAATCTTGAATAAAAGGCACACTAAGAAGACTTTTCTCCTGGAATCAAGTTCTACATAGCATTTTTATCAAGAGGTGGGGGGGGATTCGCTTCTGTTACCAACTTTATGTGTACAAACAATCTGTGTCCTGTATGAACTTCAGAAAAGCAGGCAATCACCAGAACTCTCCTATGAATCAGTGTTAACGCATCCGAAAATGTTTGCAAGTGTTTGCCTGTAAACTGTACCTATACTACCTTGGAGCACTGTTTTGTAGGAGGGTTCAGTCATGATTTGCAGGTCACTTCTGGAAAGTTGCAGCTGTTGAAGTACTTTAATAAGCTGCTGTCTGGCTTATTTCCTAAGATCTGTTTGCTTTTCCTCTCTCCCCCGGTTTTGCCTTTTTGCTCTGATTAAGGCCTGAACAAAGCAAAGAAACATAACACAGAACAGGCATCTCTGGCAGAACAGAAACCATGAATGCAACCTGGACTGCTCCCACTTGTATACAAAGTGGTCAACTTGAATTCAGAGAGCCTCTTCACCCACTCCAGAGTCATGTTCCTACTGCATGAACCAAGAAACTAAATACTCATTCTCATACAAACAGCTTTTAAGCCATTTTTCCAACAGATTCCTCCGTTTATGCTTCTACATAATTCATAGACATACTTATAGATTCCATTGAAGTATGTCCAGAAAGACTGTATAGAGGTAGTTTTTGTTGTTGTTTTGTTTTTTTTTTAATTTCACCAGTTTACTGCAACTGTTACTGAGCTTTATGTTAATGCTATCCTTTACCATGCTGGATTGGAAGAGGACTGGACAAATAAAATTCACTGGAATTAAATAAATTAAAAACAAATCCATGGATTCCCTAAAACTTATCCTGCATCTAGGGGGAAAAAAAATTCTTAAGGCTTCCTTGGATCTGCATGACTTTTCCTCCATATTCACAGGGGAAGATGCTTTCAATTTTTTAAAACAACTGAATATTGTTCTCAGAAATGAAAACATGCATAAATAGTAGAATCAGAACCTGACAGCACTCAAAACATAACTCCAATGTTGCATCACCACATACTAGAAACAAGACCCTTAATTTCATAAAATCTGTGTAAATAACTACAAGTACAATATTCACTTAGGACAGAAAAGCAAAAAAATGTCAGCAAATCAGTACTAAAACCACTGATCTGAATTCAGCATTTGACCACAAACAATAAAGTAATTTTTAGAACCTGAAGCCTTCAGATGAAGGCATGGAAATAAAAGAACAGGAAGCAGAGGGACAGGACAGATGACAATGAAATAAAGGAAATGTAGGCTGAAATTTCACCACATTTCTCAGTTCAGCTCACAAGGGGCAAGTGCGTGCAAGTTATCAATAGATTCCAAAGCCAAGCATTTAAGCTGATGGGCTCAGTCTTGAAAATCGTGTCATCACCAACACTAGCATACAGTCATTTCACTAAATTTAAGCTTTACTTACATTGTCATGCTTAAAAAAACACAACATCTTCAATTCCCGGAAGACCCTTTTGCAAGAGACCAGATTTTGGAAGACGTTGGGCATCTTTTTGAGTGCAACTCTCTTTCCATCTCGCGGATCTGTTACTGACCTAGAGAATAATAATATATATATATATATATAGCTCGCTCGCTCTCTCAAGTAATATTTCAGTCAACTTTTCTAAAAAAGAAAAAATATTTAAAGGTTTTAATGCTTTTCAACTTGGAAGGTAAATCAAGGCATTTATAGAATACTAAGAATAATGTAAGCAAGGTTATATACTTAAATAGTACAATTTAAGGTTATGGTACTATATTCTTTATATTAATAAATTCCAATAACTCTTGGTCAGAAAATATACATCTATACAAATTCAACTATTCTTGGCTTCTAGGTGGCTGCACACATTTCATGCATTTTACATATACCATGGTTCAAAGATCAATAACTGGAATTGTAACTTGCATCTCACCACAAACATTTCCTTCCATCGCCAATAAAATATTAATTTTAGAATGCTTTTCAGTTATGCAAATCTTCAGTGTCAAAACAATTATGATTTTTTCAATTTTTCGCTCTCTAAAAATCATATATTTTAACTATTGTGTATTATGGAAGACAGGTGAGCAAAGATGCGATTCTGAATCTGCCAGTGAAATCACCAAGCACCTCTGAAGAAGCAACACCATATGGTGCCTACATTTCTCCATCTGGAAAGGGGGCAGCATATTTACCTTCCCCATACAGATTTTATGAGCATATCAGCGAAGCAGTTTAAACAGTTAAGATGCTCTGCAAGTAGTACCTATTTTACTCTAATTAAATTCTGAAAATTGAGCTATATACCGAGACTCTTAAAACCAGAGCAATGAGATTTGGACTGAGATACCACAATTTCACAGATTTTAAACCCCAAATGTGGGTGGCCCCTGAAGTTTTAGTTTAAAGCAGGTTTTTCAGATCTCAAATTAATTTTTTTAACCACAAGTCTGAACTGTTTCCAATTTTTCTGCCTCATTTTTGGAGGGTTGACACCAAATCTGAATATAGTACTTGTCACAGCACTGCCCTGGAAACTTATGTTCAGCTCTCTACTCTGACCCGATTTCTTCTCCAGGACACACTATCCCATCCTGTAAATGTGACCTACATTTCTTTGTTCCTAGCTGCAAGACTTTGCAGTTGGCTACATTAAAAGCACATTCTTTCAATTAATCAAGCTTATCAAGCAGTCAAGATCATTTTGCATTACTGACCTGCCATCATTTAACATTCCACCAAGACACATTGCCTGCAATTTTTACCAGAAATATTTACTTGCAGATGACTGATAAAAGATATTGAACTGCATGAAACCAAAAAATGGATCTTTGTAGGACCCCATTGTAAAGGCATCTACAGTATCTTGATTTTCTATCATGCTATATTAGAATATTGTGTGCATTAAGGCTAAATGATTTTAAAAGTTGAACTATGTTATTCTATTGCTAAACATACTCTATGTATTAAAAACAAACTTGTAATCTCTTGAAAAACTGTATCAACTAAATTAGACTGAACCTATTTTTCATAAAGCCGCTTTACCTTGCATTAATGATGCTACAATCCTTTTATTCTTCACTGACTAAATTAAGTGATTCTCTGCACTACAAGCACAGTATAGACCCAAAAGTTACACAATGATGTGTGACAGATAGATAACTCATGGAGAAAATTAACACGATGCCATTAAGAACTCATGCCTTGTGAATTGTTTTGATCAAGAAAAACATAATATGCAGTTAAGAATTTTACTGTCAGGTTTACAGTTTCTACCATCAAGATAAATTAGATGGGAAGTGAAGATGTGCAACAAGTGAGAATACAATGTCAAAAAGAAAGAGAAAAAATTGGAGCAGCCAAACCCAAAGAGACTGACTAATGCCTGAGAAAGTCACTGAGTTAGTTACTTTGTTGATCAAGGAACAGCTGCCTAGAAAACTTTGAAGGCTTCTTTCCTGTGCCTCAGAGGAAATCCATTTTGTTTTACATACCTATGTGAAAAACTGTGAATGCACATGGGAGGCACTTGTATCCTGCACCAGGCCTGATAAAAACATAAATCTTAAGACCAATAGCTAGAGAGTGGAAAGTGCACAAGCAGTTCATGCATCAATTGCTATTGATACTTCAACTCCCAATTCACTAGTAAATACCCAAACTTCACTTAAGCAGAAAAAAAACCCTCCATGAAATGGCCCAAGACCCATTACACTGGACAGATTTTGCTGGAGAAGAATTTCAACCCAATGTCTATAACTAAGATAGCAATC